AATCCTGAAGCAGCAGAACCCACAAGAAGACAGAGTGAAACAAATTCCCAGCCCAAGACAACCTGGACGGTCGATCAAAATGTTTATCACGCCGGCTGGGAGCGCAGCACAGCACGTACAGGCCCCAGCGAACCTGGAGCAGGCCTCAGAGGACTGAATCTCGGGCAGCTGTGGAGGTTCCCACACTCCTCAATCCACGAATGCCCAAGACGACTTAGAAGGCAAGTGGGAAAAGTCTGTTTCTGCAGTGTTGAGACAGGAAGGCAGGGTCTCAGCTCCATTCCCCAAAAGTGTGGCCCTGGAGGGACAGCTGCTTCCCGATCTTCTGGACCATAGACTGAGGGTGAATCCAGTGGCTGATCAGAGAGGGATTGCAGGGATCTCTTTGCAGTGCTGAGGCAAAATCTCTTGCTCTGTCCGTGTTTGGATCTGGGTCACAGTTCTGGGCAGCCGTGCTGGGGTGAGGAGTGCTGGTGTGGTGGAGCTTGTAGTGGCTGTGAGGAGAAACCCCTCCTCACAGTTACAGGACAGAAAGGAGTGCTTGTGGTCACAGACCAGGAAAGGAGTAAGCACCTCAACCCTTATCATGCCACCTTGAAAGAACTGAAAATTACAGGTCCCTACAAGTATCTCTGAAAACAGCTGCACAAAGCCCCGAAGCTTGGGACAGAATATTCTCCACATTGGAAGCAGATTCATATCTTAACAAAGAGTTTAAAACTCAAGTAATTGGCTGGGATCATGAGCGAGCAGCACAAAAAGAGTCAGACTGTATTATCTTACTTTGGTGATAAAGATCAAAATATTCAACCAGAAGAAGAAAACAAAGTCAAAGCTCCTACATCCAAAGTCTCCAAGAAAAATATGAATCAGTTCTAGGCCTTAGAAGAGCTCAAAAGGAATTTTGAGAAGCAAGAAAGGGAAGGACAGGAAAAACTGGGAAGAGAAATGAGAGTGATGCAAGAAAATCATGAAAAACAAGTCAGCAGCTTGCTAAAGCAGACCCAAAAAAAAATTGAAGAAAATAACACCTTAAAAAATAGCCTAACCCAAATGGCAAAAGAGGTCCAAAAAGCTAATGAGGAGAAAAATGCCCTAAAAAGAAAAATTGGCCATGTAGAAAAGGGAGTCCAAAAGCTCACTGAAGAAAATATTTCCTTAAAAATTAGAATAGAGCAATTGGAAGCTAGTGGCTTTATGAGAAATCAAGAAATTGTAAAACAAATCCAAAACAATGAAAAATTAGAAAACAATGTGAAATATCTCATTGGAAAAACAACTGACCTGGAAAATAGATCCAGGAGAGAGAATTTAAAATTATTGGACTATCTGAAAGCCATGATCAAAAAAAGAGCCTAGACATCATCTTGCAACAAATTATCAAGGAAAAATGCCCTGATATTTTAGAACCAGAGGGCAAAATAGAAATTGAAAGAATCCACAGATCTCCTCCTGAAAGAGATCCCCAAAGGAAAACTCCTAGGAATATTATAGCCAAATTCCAGAGTTCCCAGGTCAAGGAGAAAATATTACAAGCTGCTAGAAGGAAACAATTCAAGTACTGTGGAAACACAATCAAGATAACACAAGATTTAGCAGCTTCTACATTAAAGGACTGCAGGGCATGGCATATAATATTCTGGAGGGCAAAGGAGATAGGATTGCAACCAAGAATCACCTATCCAGCAAAACTGAGTATAATCCTTCTGGGGAAAAATTGGTCATTCAGTGAAATAGAGGACTTTCAAGGATTCTTGATGAAAAGACCTCAGCTGAATACAAAATTTGACTTTCAAATACAGGACTCAAGTGGAACTTGAAGAGGTAAACAGGAAAGAGAAATCATAAGGGACTTATTAAGATTGAAGTGTTTACATTCCTGCATGGAAAGATGTTATTTATAACTCATGAGACCTTTGTCAGTATTAGGGTAGTTGGAGGAAAAAAATTATATCTATGTATAGATAGATAGATAGATAGATAGATAGATAGATAGATAGATAGATAGCAGGCACAGGGTGAGTTGAAGATTAAGGGGTAATATCTAGAGAATAAAATTAAGGGATGAGAGAGGATTATACTCAGAAGAAGAAAGGGAGAGGTAGAATGGGGTAAATTATCTCACAAAAAAAAAAACAGAAAAGTCTCTTACACTGGAGAGGAAATGGGGAAGATGAGAGGGAATGAGTGAATCTTATTCTCATAGGATTTGACTTAAGGAGGGAATAACATACACATTCAATTGGGTATGGAAATCTGTCTTACCCTACAGGAAAATAGGGGGAGAAGGGACAAGAGAGCAGGGCGATGATAGACAGGAGGGCACATTGAGAAAGGGGGTAATCACAAGTAAATGCTTCTAAGGAAGGACAGGGTCAAAAGAAAGAATAGAATAAATGGAGGGCAGTATAGGATTAAGGGAAATAGAGTTAGTTTTTCACAACATATCTACTATGGATGTTTTGCATAACTGCACATGTACAACCTATATTGAGTTGCTTGTCTTTTCAATGAGGGTGGGTGGGGAGGGAGGAAGAGAGAAAATTTGAAACCTAAAGTTTTGAAAAATACATCTTTAAAAAAATTTTTCACATGCTACTGGAAATAAGCAATATGGGAAATGGGGTACAGAAGTCTATCCTGCCCTACAGGAAAATAGAAGGCAAAGGGGATAAGAGAAGGGGAGAAAGATAGAAGAGAGGACAGACTAGGGGAAGGGATATTCAGAATGCATGCCATCTTGGGGTGGGGGAGGGGTGAGATGGCATGAAAATTTGGAACTTGTAAATTAGTGGAAGTGAATGTTGAAAGCTAAATTAAATAAATTATATTTAAAAACACCAACAAAAATACAAAAATAAATTTGAAAAAAGTCAAGATGACTGGTGATGGCTTGGGTTGCAGTGGATCAACTTAGCATTTTTAATATCTAACCAACCTCTAAGTGCTCCACATTGCCTGCTTCCACCACCTTCATGGTCCATTGGAACAAATTGTTCTCATCTGCCCATTCTGCCAGGGAAAGTCCTTTGTATGCTTGGGGTAGACACTCTCCAATTCACTGACAGGTTTGAAGCCTTTTGGTTAATCTCAACCTGGTTTAGCCTGTCTGCCAAAACTAAAAAGAGACTGCTGCCCATGCTACTGCTTCTTGAGCTACAGGTAAGAGTTGGGTGGCAGTAGGCACCAAAGGTGGATGAGGAGCCCTGAAAAGGGTTTAGCAGCCTTCACACCAGAGGTATTAGTCTTTCCTGAACACTTGTACTCCCCTACTATGTTGTAAGAAATGAGAAAATAGCTGATTTCATTTCACAGCTGAGAAAACTGAGACAAGCAGAGGTTAAGTGACTTACTGAGCCCCACACAGTTAGTGTCTATGGCTGGATTTAAACTCAGATCTTCTTGACTCTGAGACCAGTAATTGGCTCCATTAGAGTCAATTATTTGCACTAAGAGTTTGAGTGAGTGTTGATAGGTAGGGAGGTAGGGAGAGAGAAGTGCCCATGAAGGTATAAATTCTTACATTGGAAATTTAACAATTGGCCCTCCCCAAGTGACTGGAGCCAGCTCCATAATACTACAGGCTATATTTCTATCTCTATTCACACCTTATTTAAGCTATTCCACCTCCCGCTTCCCAGGATCAGGTTTTATTCTAAAAAGTTGCTGCAGATCATACATTGAACACAACAAATCTCATAGAGCAAAAGAGACCCCAGAGTAACAGCTAGCTGAATGTAGAATTGACACCTGGCAAAAGTGAATGACTGTGTCTGAGAGCTCAGGACACCCTGAATCTAGAAAATGAATTTACTTCTGCATAGGGAAGTACATATTGGCCATGGTATGGACAGAGAATCAAGCAGAGTAAAGTGTCACAGGGAGAGCTATCAATTAAATGTACATGCTGGCCAAAGGAGTTATATTGAAGCTTTATGGCCCCAAGGGAATAAATCCCAAAACTGAAGTCATCAGTGCTCAAATGGAAGTCACCTAGCTCATTTCTTTGGGAACAAAGCCTAAGAATATGCAGTTTTATAATCATCTACATTATTAAATAGGGCAGTTAAGTGGCCCAGGGATAAAGTATCAGGCTGGAGTCAGGGAGATTCCTCTTCTTGAGTTCAAATCTGGCTTTAGAGACTTAGCTGTGGGACACTGGGCAAGTCACTTAACCCTGTTTGCCTCAGTTTCTCATCTATAAAATAATCAGGAGAAGGAAATGGCAAACTACTCCAGTATCTTTGCCAAGAAAACTCCAATGGATCATGAAGAGTAGCATATATGACTGAAATGTACTGAACCACCACAATAAAAATTATAGAAACAACTGACACAATACAACACAATACAATAACACACTGAGAAACTTTTTAATTCTTGCTTTTTATTAGTCGTGTCGGAAAAACCCTGGCCATTTTTTTTAACTATGCGATTACAAATGTCCTGGAGGAAAAGGTATGGGTAATAAAAACATACAATAAGTGAACACATCAAACCTTTGTAAAGGTGTTGTTGAGTCATTTTTCAGTTGTGTCTGACTTTGTAACATCATCTAGGGTTTTTTTGGTTAGGATGTTCAAGTGGTTTATCATTTCCTTCTCCACCTCATTTTACAGATAAGGAAACTGAGACAAACAGGGTTATGTGACTTGCCCAGGGTCACAGAGCTAGTAAGTGACTGAGGTTAGATTTGATCTCAGAAGAGTAAGGAATTACTGGAGACATGACACTATATTCACTGAGCCACATACTTACCCATCTGTGGGTGCACCAATATCTTACACTAGCTCCTACTGGCTGAATCCAGGAACAAGCCCCAGTGAAAGAAATCTGGCTTTTCTGCTCAAACTCATTTTATATACCCCAATGCCCTCCACATGCAAACTAAGCCTCTCAGGCTGCCAAGTGAAAACTCAGCCTTGGCTTGGGGAGGGTCAGTCTCTCTTCTCACTCTGGATGGAGGTTTCTGGACAAAAATCTCATTCACCTGGAAGGCCATGAAATTGTTCTGGCTTCTGTTCTGCTTGGTGGCAGGTAGGTCCTGGACGAGAATGATTAAGAGATTACCTAATGGGTTTATAGGGAAATTATTTTAGTGCTAAGACTTAATGTGCTTCTCCTTGTTCCTAGGTGAACTGTCTGAGCAACTGGAGGAGTCAGGGCCAGGAATTGTAAAGCCCTCAGAGTCCCTTACACTCACCTGTTCTGTCACTGGTGGCTCCGTTACTAGCAGTTACTACTGGCACTGGATCCGACAGTGTCCAGGGAAAGGGCTAGTGTGGATTGGATATTGGAGTGGGAGTACAAAATACAACCCTGTTTTCCAAAACAGAGTCTCTATCAGCACAGCAGATACATCTAAGAATCAGTTCTCTCTGCAGCTAAAATCACTCACAGCTGGACCAGCGTTGTATTACTGTGCAAGAAGCACAATGTGAAGAGAGGAGTATGAGTTCATAATAAACTTTCTCCTACAAGGAAGCCAGAAGATCAGGCTGCATATGGTGTTCAACTACCGAGCACAAGTGTCCAGTCCCAGGAGAGTAAAGATGAACCATTCCTTTCAGGGTCTATGGCTTTCCCTCTCCACTCAGCAAACTTCCCTAGGGCCTTCCCATCCTTTTCATCATTGTGATGGCCTTTTTTCTAAGAGCTGCAGATAATGATAGATGAGAAGGTTTGTAATTGCTTATTGAAAGTCAGTTGGGAAGTTGAATCTCTACAGAATCTTTTTTTTTAAATAAAATCATTAACAGATTCCCATTTCCTGAGATCCCAGTAGAACACTTCTAAAGTTTCTCCACCTTTCTGGTTCTCTGTATGAATTACAGAAAGGAACATTATCTCAGCTACTTTGTCCTCAGTTCTCAAAAACCTCAGTATTTTAAGTACCCATAACTTTGTCAATGTGACAAAATGACAAAAATGTCAATTCACAGAGACATTTTTTAATTTTTCAGAAATTATTTATGTATTTAATTTTAAATCTATGGAATAAGACAAGCATTTAAATAACATAATATAATAATAATAAGATGATTGTACATGAAACTCCAAATGCATGAAGTACAACCAGCTATTCTTTTTAAATATATTATGAAGTTATTATGTACGTTTGTTTTTTTCCTTTTTTTCCTCCACCCATCCTACAGATGGCTACCATTAGATACAAATATGTATATATATATATATATATATATATGGAAAATCATTATATGTACTTCTATATTATCAGTTCGTTCTCTGGATGCAAACAGCATCTTCTTTCATATGTCCTTTATAGTTAATTTGAGTAGTTACAATAGTCAAAATAGCTTACATGAAGTTGTTCTTAAAACAATATTACTGTTACTATATACAACATTCTCTTGGTTCTGCTCATTTCATTCTTCATTGTTTTGTGCAAGTCTAGTCATGTTTTTGTAAGGTCATTGAGCTCATCATTTCTTATAGCACAGTAGTATGCCTTCACAATCATATACCACTTTTTCAGCCATTCCCCAATTGATGGGCATCCCTGAAGTTTCTAGCTCTTTTTCACCACAAAGAGAGCTGTTATGAATATTTTAAACATGTAGGTGTTTTTTTTCCTTCTCCCCTAATTATCTTTGGAAACAGACCTAGTTGTGATATTGCTGGGTCAAAGTGTATAGGCAGTTTAATAACTCTTTGGACATAATTCCAGATTGTTCTCCAGAATGGTTGGATCAGTTCACAATTCCACCAATAATGAATTAGTGTCCCAATTTTTCTACATCCCCTACAATATTTGTCACTTTCCCCTTCAATCATTTTACCAATCTAGTTTTAAAATTATATCTCATGTTGTTTTAATTTGCATTTCTCTAATCAATATATAGAGAGTACTTTTTCATACATTTGTAAAATGGTTTTGATTTCTTCTTTATAAAACTGTCTATTCATATTCCTTGGCCACTTATTAATTAGGGAATGTCTTGTATTCTTATAGATTTTGCAAATATATATAACACACACACACACACATATATAGATATAGATAGATAGATAGATATAGATATAATATATGAATGATATGAGACTTGTATCTGAAAAAAGTCTATAAATTTACCCCAATTTTCTGCTTTCTTTCTGAACTTGGCTACATTTGTTTTATTTATACGAAACCTTTTTAATTTAATGTAACCAAATTTATCCATTTCATGCCTCACTCTGCTCTCTATCTCTTATTTATTCATAAATTATTTACATCTCCATAAGCCTGACAAGTAATATGTTCTGTTCTTCAAATATTTTCATAATATCTCTCTTTAGATCCAGAACATGTATCTATTTTGACTTTAACTTGGTAAATGGTGTAAGATTTGATCTAAGGACAATTTCTGACTTACCACTTTCTATTTTTCCTAAACATTTTTACCAAATAATGAATCCTTATTCCAAAATCTTAACCTTTACACTTGTCAAATGCAAGGTTACTATATTTATTTGCCACTGTTAACTGTACATCTACTTGTTCTATTGATCTACATTTTTATTTCTTAGCCAGCAAGAGAGAGTTTTGATAATTATTGTATTATAATATACTTTAAGATGTGGCAATGCTAAGCCTCCTTCACATTTTTTTCATTAGTTCATTTATACTCTTAACTTCTTATTTTTGCAAATGAATTTTGTTATTTTTTCTAAGTCAGTAAAATAAGTTTTGGGGCAAAAATGGGATGTTATCAAATACATAAATTAGGTTAGGCAAAATTTTCATTTGTTTGCCCTCCCTACTCATGAACAATTAACATTTCTCCAATTACTTGTATCTGATTTTATTTGTATAATTTTGTTTTATAATTTTTAGATCCCATTTTGTTTTGCCAGATGTACTCCCAGGCATTTATACTGTCCAGAGTTATTTCAAATGGGGTATCTCTTACTATCTTTGCTTGTACAGTTTTGTTTCAGATATATAGGAATGGGGATAATTTAAGTGGATTTACTTTGTGTCCTGCTTCCTTGCTAAAATTATTAGTTTTTTCAATTAACTTTTTAAACTTTAAGATTTTCCAAGTATGTCATCATATCATCTGCAAAAGATAATTTTATTACACTATTCCCTATTCTGATGCCTTCTATTTCTCTTATTTCTATTACTAGGATTTCTAATACAATGTTGTTATTATTGGTGACAGTGAGCATCCCTGTTTCAAACCTAATCTTACTTGGAAGGCTTCTATCTTAGCCGCATTTCAAATAATGCTTGTTGACGGCTTCAGATGAATGCTTTTTTTTTTATCAATTTCAGGAAAATTCCACTTACACTTGTACTTTTAAGTGCTACTAATAGAAATGAATGTTATACTTATCAAAAGTATTTTTCTGCATCTACTGATGTAAGCATGTAGTTTTTAAAACTTTTATTATTGAGATAATCAATTATGTTAATAGTTTTCCTTAAGTTAAAACATACTGAATTCCTGGTATAAATCCTACTTGCTCTTAAAGTTTAATCTTTGTAAAATATTGTTGTATCTTATAGCTAGTTTTATTATTTATGGTTTTGCACCTATATTCATTAATGGAATTGGCTTATAATTTTCTTTCTCTGATTTTACTCTTCCTGATTTAGTAATCCATATCGTATTTGTTTCATAAAAGTAATTTGGTAGGGTCTCTCTTTGCCTATTATTTCCAATAATACACTTACTATTGGAATTAGTTGATCTTTAAATGTTTGATAGAATTCACTTGTAAATCCATTTGGTCCTTGTGCTTTTTTCTTTAAACTAATGAAAAAGTATTTTTATAGGCAAAGCACTGTGTAAGTGCAAATAGAAAATCAAGACAGTTCCTGATCATAAGACATAACAAAACATCAAACTAGAGTTGCATAAAGTATGCCAAACATGTAATTCAAAGTACTTAACTCATAGCAACACATGTTAAGTATTCATACCAAGTATACTTTATATACACTCCATCAATGGGAATCACACAGTATGTTCTCCATAATCCTCACACCAAGTACATCATATATCAGTGTAGCCACTGGCCTATTGGGTAGTAGTGGCTCTTTGGAATGATCCATTGCCACAACCTCTGTTTCTGCCCTCCATGTGGATGGGTTGATATCTTCAGGCCCACTGGACTAAAGTCCCAGTCTGGGTTCCTCTATGGCCTAGGAATAATGCTGCTAACTCTAACTCCTAGTCAGACATGAAAGAAATGGCCTCTGGATCCAGCACTATCCCCACCATCACCACCACCAGGACCTATCCAGGTAGAAGCAAGGTTGGATCTCTCTTGGCAAGCTTTCCCACCCCTACAGAGGTCACCAGCATGGAGTTTCTTCCTCATCTGGATCTTGATTGAGATCCTCTCCATGTGGAACATTATCCAAATATCTGCCTACAACTGGTAGATGTGCATCTCTTCAATATCATTTCCTTGATTCTCCATTGCACCTGATCTGGTCTCCCACAGCATTAGCAGAAACAAGGGAGGCAGCATTGCAAGGGGCCCCAGGCAAATAAACACCCTGCAGCACCCATCTAAAAGGAGCTGAAGAAAGCTAAAGGAAAGGAAAAGCAAGCAACCCAGAATTGCCTGCAAGTTCCAGCCTTGATGATTCCAGCCCAACAGGAGGTAAGCTGAAAACCCAAAGCCTCCAATTGCCAACATAAGAGACCCCAGCACACAAAGCCAGTGACCAAGACCTAGGCTCCCAACACAAGAAGCTCTGGTCAGTACTCTTTGTCCCCCAGCAGGAGAGCTCAATCTCTTTAAAGGCTGGGGAATAAAGAAACACCATGAGTAAAAAGAAACATACCATAGATTCATATTATAAGAAGAGTGGAGATGAAGACAGAAATTCTGAAGAGGACAACATTGTCAACAATCCCACATCTGCAATATCAAAAGGGAATACAAATTGGTCTGAAGCCCAAAAGGCCTTCTTAGAAGGGCTCAAGAAGGATTTTAAAAGTCTAACAAGAGAGGTAGAAGAGTCCTTAAAAAATACAATTGGCAATTGGAAAAAAAGTACACTGAAGAAAACAAATCCCTTAAAATACAATTGCCAATTGAAGAAGGAAGTACAAAAACTAACAGAAGAAAACAATCTGTTAAAAACTGGAATTGGACAAATGGAGACTAATGACTGTATGAGAGAGAAAGAATCAGTCAAACAGAAACAAAAAATGAAAAAATGGATGAAAATATAAAACACTTCATCGGTAAAACAACCAACCTGGAAAATCAATCCAGGAGAGACAATTTAAAAATCACTGGATTACCTGCAAATCAGGATGAAAAAAAGAGCCTGGACAGCATCTTTCAGGAAATCATAAAGGAAAACTGCCCGGAAATCCTAGAATCAAAAGGTAAAATAACCATAGAAAGAATGCACCTGTTACCACCTCAAAGAGATCCCAAATTGACAATGCCAAGGAATATAAGCAAAATTCCA